TTCTTCACATTCTCCTGCTAAGCCTAAGCTAGCCGAACCTGTAGCTGATCCAGAAACCCCATCACCTCCACCAGTGAAGTTTCCGCTTCAACGGACATAGGAATCGCGCGGGGCACGAAATTCAAACGCTCGCTAGTGAATGAGGTAAGGTGGATACCATGCTTAGGTAATTCCATGCTTAAGTTTATAGTATGGTTTGCTATGTCAGAAATTGTGGGCTCCAGCTAGATTTTTGTGCCAAAATAGATTTTATTGGCTAACTTTGTCATTTTTGGTGTGCTGAATTCCGAAAAAGTTAGGTGCCATTTTTTTTTATCCACGTCATCAGACACAACACATAATGATAAAACTTTGTTATTGTTGATGTCAAAGAATAGGGAATTATACACTGACCATTTTATTGCATTACACCTATACCTAACAATACATTCTGAGATAAAAATATCAAACTCGCCAAAATATATCATGTTTGGTATCATTGGAAAGCTCTTTCGATGCTGAATAATGTTTGACAATACACATAATCAGAAATGGTGTAGTTTTCCATATATTGTCTTGTAAATTCAAATTATGGCATACTTCGTATTAAATTAAACAGGACTCAGATGTGTAATGCATGAGCTGCCAAGGTGGTGGAAAGAAGGGGTTGGCTCCTACTTCCACTGGGCCTTAACAGTGGTGTAATGCAAGTGCTTTCTGATCCAAATCCCAGTCCAAATGGACCCTGGAGTGGCCATGGGTCCCCCTACTCTACTACCCTACAACCCCTTAACAATACAGTAACTTTTTATATAATTTTCAAAATCCAAATAGACCAAAATCTCACACACTCACAACCCACATTTTTGACCAACGTTTAGTTCATCCAAGTCCAAATGAGCCCCAGGGAGGCCCTACTCACTACTACCGAGCAATCAAATATGAACTTTGACAATGCGGTGCTGGCTGAATCCCTACCGACCTTAGAATCCGCCTGTGCCTTTAAATGTGGCAATAAATATAGAATTAAATAAATGATTATCCATTTATAGATAGTAAGCCTAATAATATTCAATATTGTATGCATGAATTGATTAAAATATGTTACCTGATAGTTCTCCCAATAATTTGGATATTCGGATGATAAAGGTCTAAAACACCATGGATTGGATCTCAACGATGATCATTTTATTCAAATTTGCCTTATCATGCTTCAGAGCAACACAGAAATGTGATATCGAAGTAACACTTTTATTTAAACAATCAATAAATTTTGATACCCAAACGTCTTTATACTGGTAGTTTTTAGCCTGAAGAGAAAAAAAATAATCCAGAAGTCGTATGCCTACACTTATCGTGGGAAAAGTAATTTTTGTCTGTCTCCGAATTTGTATAGTGGTAAATGTTGTTATGGTACCTTACAGAATATAACTTGGTGCGGATAGAAAAAGAATTTTGTTTCAAAATGCTTGACACACTGAAAGACACTGTTGGAATTTAAATCGAAAATTTGCTTTAGTGTTTTACATAAAAATTAGCTTGTTTAGAGTAGGCCTACAGCAATGTCATGCTCTCCTCTTTCTGGACTTCTCTTTCTGGACTTTCTGCTTTATTTTTTCTCTATTTTTTGTGAGGTTAAGGATAGCCGCTGTGCTCCATGGATCCGCCCCTGATAATTATTGATTGAATGTATACTGTTTGATAAAGCATTATATTGGCAAAGCTACATTGGAACTTAGATCAATACATTTATGTATTCACTGCAACAAGAATAGCCTTAGGTGCAGAAAGTTCAGTTAATTTTTCTCCCATCCTACCTTCATTCATCATCATCAGTCGGCTTTGGAACAGGCAACCACAAGTTTTCTCCAGTTTTTGTTGCGATTTTGGGCCATTGAGATGATTTGGTGAGGCTACAGCATTCCCTCAGGATCACCCTTATATCCTACCTTATATCATCCTAAATGTACTTACCTGTAATGTAGCCATTGATGATTGAAATCTTCTGATTAGCTGAATGCTAAATACATTTTGCTTCCTTCACTTTATAAGAACACATTGTATAAGGACCTTGAGGCTGAAATTGCTTAAAAAGTAAGAACAAAATAAGAACAAATTGAGGCTGAGGTAAAATCGGAATTTTCATATGAGATTTCTATTTTTAAAAAACTACAAAAACTAACAAATCTTATCTATACCTGATGTTCAATAGGTATGGCTCTGTAGTATGATACAATACAGTAATATACTGCCATACAATAATAATTTTTTATATTTGAAAAATGTGTAAAAATAAGAACAAAAAAAGAACATTTTGAGCTTGAGGTCAGCAAAAAGACACTGAGTCTGAGCAAACTTTTGGTGGTTCTTAAATAAACAAAAGTGTAATATGAAACTAAGCGTTCCCCAGAAAATGCACAGGCTTACATACTGTAACTGGCTAAACCTCAATAGTAAAATGCTGGGTCGTAGTTGGATGTACCACTTCTAATAAATCTGCCAAAGAGTGTGTTGTGAGATTTTGGTCTATTTAGTTTTTGAATTATAGAAAAGAAAAATTATAGAAAAAAATTGTCAAGCTTAGCTTAGTACAGTAGTAAGGGCCCAGTGGCCGCCACACTGGAATCCATTTGGACTGGGACTAAGGCTCAGTGGTAAAGTGCTATGTAGTAGTAGTAGTGAGTGCTCTAAGCCGTAATTGGACTTTACGGGACAATGTATGGAAAACTACACCATTTTTAATATACTGTGTGTATTGTAAAACATTATTCAGCATTTGAAGAGCTTTCCAACGATACCAAACACAATAGATTTTGGTGAGTTTGATTTTTTGACCTTTTTTCATGTGACTTTATTCATATTCATTCATACAATGATGGCTCAAAATCTGTATTTCATAAGGGACATTTATACATACAGTAACATGATCTTGACTGCAAATCTATGTCAGAATATTATACCATGAAGAACACTTTCATTTTTTTTCATATCATACTAACATAATTAAAATAAGTATAATAATTTCAATAAATTATGCCTGAGCAATTCAATTCAACTAAATTTAGCTTTGTAAGAATCCTAATATGCATAATAAAATTATCTTCAAGTACCTTTATTCGCTTATGTTTTATTTTTTATGTTATTTATGGGTGTCATATCTGTATTTAACCAACCTATTATATTTGTTTATCCAGACATGTCGCTCTGTAAATGTATTAATTAATCATTAACTATATTATTGTGGGTATATATGTATACGTACTGTATATGGAGAATGTTTTACGAAATGAATTTAATGTTCAACTTCAAAATGATTTCACCCTTCCCAAAACTTTATGTGATTCCCTTTTCGTTGAAATAAAAAAAAGAAAAAAAAAAAGAACATAAATTGGCATTATATGTAGACCACCACTTAACAAAAAAAAAAAAAATAACTGCTGGATTAACACTTGAGGTCTCCGTGGTTTTGTTTGTTACCATGTTTACATCACCACAAATACAGTAGTGCAATATTTCACGAATGACCGCATAGGAACCTTGGCCCTCGCAGAGGTCTGGTTGAACTTATTGACAATAATCTAGGACATCCAACTAATACAAATTGTTCCTCTTACTACGTTAAAGATTTAGATTCATTTAATGATGCCTTGTCACAAACTGATTGGTCTGCAGTGTATAATGGTGATCATGAGATTGCCTTTGATATTTTATTAAAATATTTCTTTCTACTGTATTTATAATAATCAGACTATATTAAAATTAAATGCAAAATGAAAACACATAAGCAAAAACAGCCTTGGATGTGCACTTCTCTTTTGAAATGCAGTAAAAAGAAACTTTATACTAAATACATGGGTCACAAAATTCTGAACATAAATTAAGGTACACTAAATATAATTACATCTTTAATAAACTTTGTCGAAAAGCAAAAAGACTGTTATACTCATAAATTTATTCAACTTAAAGGAAACCTCAAAGGTAGAGAGAGCAGTTAGCTCAGTCGGCTAATCTGGTGGTATCCACTGTGTGTGCGCTGAACCGTGGAGATCTTTAGGTCCCTGGTTCAATTCCCATCGCTGCCTCTCCATGTGTTTCAGCTGGAGGGCTGAAATACAAGTTACAAAAGCGCACCGTCTTTCGGATGAGGCGTTTAGGCTGTTGGTCCTGTGTGCATTTATCGCACATGTGCACGTTAAAGGACGCAGTACACTCTTCGGAAAAGAGTAGGGGATTGTCTCCCGGTGTACTGCCCAATCACTACCAGAAGGACCCCACTGGAAATAAGTCTAATTCAAGACTTTCGTGGGTTATCCTTGGTGTTTACACAAATAAATGCAATCCAATCCAGTCCTACTTGGGATACCTTTAACACAAGGATCGGTTTTAGGACCATTACTCTTCCTAATAATATACGTAAATGATTTAACACGGGTTAGTGACACCCTGCAGGTTGTGTCTTTCGCTGACGATACTACTACTCAAATCAGAATCTTAAAATATAATTGTTCTTTTGATTATTAATCAAATGTTCATTTGCAAGGAACCAGTAATAAGTTTATCTAATTCTTCATTGAAGAATTAGATAATCTTAATTACTGGTTCCTTTCTGGTGTGTGTATATGTATGTATGTGTATATATAAAGCACCTGATTATGCTGCAAATACTCTTTTTGTGTAAGTGTGCGGGTGAGGGGGATGTGTGTATGGTACTGGTATAATAATTGTGCTTTTTGTTATTCTATTTTGCACTTTGTAAGGGTCAATTGAGAGACAAGCCTAACTGCTTCTATACTGTAACTTGATCCTTATCAATGGAATTTTGTTATTGAAATTTAATTATTTATGTTATGTTCATCCATTGATTGAATGTATATTGAATTGAATTGAATTATGATGACGAAATGGTGGTGATGATGATGATTTGGTGATGTTGATGGTGTTATTGATGATAATTAATAAAAATCAAATCCTTTTAATAGTAAATTGTTATTTTAACTTGTAGTCTTTCATGTGCATTACAGCTGCTTCAACAATTTGGTGGAAGTATCCTTGGGGCAACCAACCAAAAATCTAATCAGGGAACACCATATCACCCATCTTTAAATGATCTTATTGAGTTTATCAGACAGTGTGGAAAGCAGAACATGGTTTGTATATAACATTTTTGAATTCCTAACCATATGTCATCCAATTACAACAGCCAGCCTCACCTACTTGCTTGTACATTCTCACTTACAAAACACTAGCTTCACTGCTGGCTAAACTTATGAAGATTAGTCTATAAATGGAAAGTGCTAAACTACTACCATCTATCCATAACTGAACAAACAATATTGTACAGGTTGTCTCTTACCCTTTTAGATAATTAATGGTCGTAATATGACCAGGCATACTGTAAGTGAATTTTTCTGCGAGAGCAGAAACACTATTGTTTTTGTTTTGATTGTGTGCAGTTCCCGTGACAGCAGATTTTTTTTCTCTTTTTTTTTTTTTTTTTTTGTTGTGTTCTGTTTTTAGTATTCCATCCCATTTCCCCAACTTCCTTCTTTTTTTCTTTTTTTTTGTTTTGCTGACAGGGTTTTCCTGTGCACCACTTTGGTCACTTTCTTCGATCTTCCTCAAACTTTGTCCAAGCAAAGATGTTTATATTTAGGGGTGTGCACCTTTCTCCTCCCCCTCATTAATTCATTTTTAGTTTCTTTGTAGTAGAAAGCGCTACACAAGTATGTGACAAGTGGTCATATTAGAAAATACGTCATTCTACAATTTATAATATTAATAAATGGTTAATTAAACTTTTATGTTAACGCAGTCTGCGTGTGTTTCAATCTAGTTACAGTTAGGTTCATAACACAGAATTATCATGCAATACAGTCTTTGCCCTCAACCTATTAAATTATCCAAAGACTGAAAATCAACTTACTATTACCAACGGAGTCGGATGCTATAGCCATTATGGTTAGAACTCCCCACATCACTCTCATTAATACCATTGCAACTCTGGTTCAAATCGAGTAGCGTCAAGGTGATTTTTATTTTTACCTCAGAACTTTTTTATAAAATATTATTTTGTTTTTATTTTTAAATTTCAACATTAGTTCTCATTATAACAATGTAAATCTAGTACTGTAATTGTATATATGTAAATCTAATCTAGTAATTGTATCTGTAATTGTATATTAAGTGCAATTGATTCATTTATATATTTATATTATTAATAGTCAAAAAAGAAAATTAATTATGGTTATATTTCTTATATACTTTATTATATCATTGATATCAATTCTTTTCAGAATGATAAGAAAATCGTTGAGATGGCCTTATGCGAATATTTCCAGACAACATCAGTTGATTCATTTGGAAGAGGGTCTTTGCAAAGGTTGATTTCTAAGGCAAAGATTACACAGCATGATGAAGAGCAGAACTGCATCACCTATGAACAAGCCGTATGCACTCGAACGAGGTACTCTATATAACTATATTTTGTATTTTATCTGTAATTCTTTTACTTAATGTATATAGTCGGGATTTGTGGTTCAAGTTCTTTCGAGAGCCTTAAACTGTTTTCAGACCAATATTTATAGAGGGCGACACTTCCAAATTTTCTTGGAATATCAGCTGATATTCAGGGACCCTCCGAAAATATGAAAATATAATGAGGATTATGAAGTAGAGATGTTTAGGTGATAAGAAAATTATATGAACCCTGGTATTACGAAGTAAGCACCTCAACCACCAGATGCAAAAGTAACCCGTTTCTCATATTCGTCACGTTAAAGTCCATAAGTTAAATGCTTGTCAGAGTAAAAAGTCTGTAAATAATTAACAAACATTGAATTATTTTGATCTGTTTTTTTGATCTGATTTCAATTACTTTTTAATCTTGTAAATTAACAATTAATTTTGTGAATTTGTCAAGTTTTGATCACAAACAATATAACAGTTTTTCAGTTTCAATATTGCAACAACATAACCAGAGGTTCCACGTTGTCAGAAGAATAGCTTTATTAACACATCTAGTTTGACTTTGCTATGCGTGGTGTGATACCCATTGGCAGCCTATGTCTGAGAGCCAGTTGATAATTATTAATTACTATTAAAGCATGTAAATATCATGAATGTGCTAGAGATGAATTAGTTTTTGTTGTTTGCTCATGGTAGTAGACTGTCCCAATTCCCGGGAGCATAAAATATGTTACTGTACTTTCGATCCCTTTTGTAGAACCCTCTGGTTGACCTACTATTATTTGTTTTCAAATATCTTTGTTGAAGAACCAAACAAGTTTCAGGCAATCCTGTGGGCATGCGTGGACACCAGAGCCGGTGCAACGCCTTACTATCTCTGAATTCTGCTCCTTTGTTGGAGGACTTGTCTGAGTGGTCACAGTGGCATTTGATTTTCAAACCTGAATACGGGGAGCTAAAGGGCTTTATTGAAAAATGGTCAGGTGCTGAGGTACCTTATGAGCAAGAAGGTTTGTATCACAACACCTGAATTTTAAAGCAATGTTTATCATGAATAATATGAATACTTAACTTAACTGAACACTATGTGATGTACTATTCAATAGAAATAACATGTTTGAACTGATATAACTGATAGGTATACCTTCAAAAACATTTACTGTGGAACTCCTGGACATTTCCACATACAACTCGAGTTTAAATCACACTCCCATAATATCCTACAAATTAAAAAAAAAATATTTTTCGATGTTGATGTTTTGAATTATTAACAGCAAGATGCATAAAGATCATTTTTGAACAGCCACAATTTTTAAAGCATTACAACGAAGATGTGTATTTGATATTTTCAGATACACAATTGGACGAACCTATCAAGATCTTTGCCTTGGAGACCCAGCCAGGCGTATTGCTGAAGTTGGCTTCCAAAACCTCTCCTGAAGTTTTTAGAACTTCAGCAATTGAAGAGGATGCTAGGCTCACAGCTGGGCATTTAGTGTCGATCCTGATGAAAGATGGTATACAAAATGCTCCCCTTGATTTGCTGCAGAACTATTTTGAATCAGCACTTAAAGCAATATCCTCCAAAGATGTTTCTTTGGTACCCGGTGGTCCCCCTGAAGTAACCGATGCCGACATCAAGGTGGCGTCTTTTGTTTTCGATTGTATGGTTCTAATACCAACCAAGATCTGCCATGCTGTGGCGGAGGTATGTGTCTAAAGTTATTTGTGTAAATTGTACACCAATATCTAACACTATCATCAACAATAACAACTACAGTGACAGCAACAAAACAAAATCGACAGCAGTATATATATGTACTTCATGTTTTATACTCGCAAATGTTTTAATCAAAATTTCATTCACATCAATTAAAAAAAGTAACTACCGTATATACTTTATTAATAAAGTTGATAAATAGCTTTATAAATAGTTCTTGTAATATTTCCATTGAAAGTCGTCTCCAAATTTTGATTATCATGAGATGCTCTACCAATTGTGCCATATATGTGCCAGGGAGAAGTGTCTTTATATCGTTCATGATTAATTTTTTTTTCTTTTGGTATCTTAGGTGTTTCTAAAGCCCCTCTCTGAAGTTATTGGTGACAAAAGGTCAAAAAAGCTGCTGAAGGACTCATGTGTTACCACAAAACAGCTGAATAAATTACAACAACTCGGTTTCTTGCTGGGAATTGTTGAATGGTCAGAAACCTTTACCCTCAAACTTGAATATTCAAGTACTGGTGTAGACAATCAGCAAGAAGATCTCATTGACATTGCGTCGCTTCGGCCGGAAACTGATAAACCCGAAAGTGACATATCATTCATGGTAATAATTTTTTAATGACTAACCAGTGAAATATTCAAGTGTTAGCTTTTTTGCCATCTGTGTAGCTTAAAATATATAAGTTAGATTTAGCCTATAAACTTGCTTCATAGGAAGCATGATTTGTTGGAGAATTAACTCAAGAAATATTCTATACAGTACAACTTTTCAATCAGTTTTTAGTTCTATATAAATATTTTAATTATTATGAATTAAAAACTATTTATTTGATACTTAATTCATTGTATTCGTCTATGATAGTCTGAATAATGCATTGTTTCAATTTAGATAAGGTAAGGTAAGGTAAATGTATGTACAGTATGTATGTATCTGGGCATGTGAGTATGCATGTGTGTGTAAGTATGCATGCATCACAACAATTTAACTATACATTCTATTTTACATTGAAGAGTCCAGAGGAGGAAGATAAGTTGAATTTTGATACAGATGAAGATATAGAACTTAAAACGTCTGTGGATGCATCATCAGGAAATGGTAATTCATAATTATCAAAATTTAATATTAATTATACTAATGTCATAATAATTACTTTTTTATAATATTAATAATTTACTGTAAAATTATTGTATTTGAAGCGAATCTAGCAATGAAGTTTTAAAGGTTTCCTAGTTTTAACAGCCATTATAGTCACACTTAGCTGGCATACACCATAAATGTGCTGCGTTTCTAAATTTTACTATTTTAAAAACTAGAACCTCTAGGTGTTTGGACATGGTTAATATGTTTACACTGGAGATAATTTCTTCGTAAAGAGGCCTACAATATTGTTGCAAGTCCAGTTCCTTTCAATAGGTTCTAAGCAAAAGTTACGGAAATTTTTTTAACTAGAGTTATGCTAAGATTTTGTACTTTTGGTACATCAATATGAATTTGAAATTATTATTATTTAAAAATAATGGGATTTCAGATGAATATACTCATGCTGAAAAAATTGTGGAAGACTTCGAAGGAGAGGAGTCAGAAATCAGAAATAAAGTTCAAAGTGAATTCAAAACTCAAGAAAACAAACCAGCAGAAATGGATAAAATGGAAGAGCATGATACCTATTATGATACTGCAGAGAACAACGGAGTAGAAATGCAAGGACAGAAAACACCACCAACAAAACTTGCTCAATATCAGGACGAAATGCAACTTTGTAAATCTGTCGTTGATAATATTCGTAACAAAGAATTTGGTATTGGCGCCATTTTGAGCAAAGAAGGTGAAAGTTTGATGACAGTTCAGAAAGGTCGCATCGCACGAAGCTTGGAGCGACTCTCTTCCGAACTCTACAGTAAAGATACACACTTTGTACTTGAATTAGTACAGAATGCTGACGATAACACATACAACGACGACTGCAAACAACCATCACTCTTGTTCCAGTTGGAAGAGGGACACATTACTGTCTACAACAATGAAAAGGGCTTCAGCGCAGAGAACATACATGCACTGTGTGATGTTGGCAGAAGCACCAAAGGGAAACATAAATACGGATACATAGGTAATAGTTTAAAAAAATTAACACCCAGGTAAAGATGGCTTTTTGCTATCTGCAGCATTTGTTTAAAAAATAATGCTTCTAGTCGTCATAAGACATCTTTCCTGATACCATATCATTTTAAAGTGTGTGACACGCAGTTATAAATTTAGTTATGTTGTTTATAAGATTCGTGCTAAACAGAACCACTCTCTCCATAAACTGAACTACTTTAACGAAACATATTTCAGAATATAATATGTTAATTATTTAAATGATATGTTAATATCTTCTATAACAACAACAAAAAACGCTCAGCTCCTCGAATAACCCTCTCAAGAGAGTTAGGCGAGTTAATGACTATGTTTGTATCAGTCTGTATCCGTTTGGTGTTTATTTAAAGGGGAGGCTAATTATTTGGCACTAGTAAAAACGATAATGTGGCTGCCTCCCCAGGTTGTATACCGAACTTTCATAAAAAAATAAATAAATATATCTTCTCACCATGAAAAGCATCCTGCAATGACATTAAAAAATAGAGTATTTATTCTTTGTTAATTTTCAAGGTTTATTCTCATTTTAGTTCATTCTAAAACAAATCTTTGGGTTTTTTTCTATGGATTTATTTTAAGGTAACAATCAATAAACATGTGCATTAAAAACTAATGTAACTGATTTTGTATTTAATAATCATCTTCAAATGCATTCAATTTTTTTACAGGTCACAAGGGAATTGGGTTCAAGTCTGTGTTTCGAGTGACTGACAGACCAGAAATACACTCCAATGGCTTTCATATCTGCTTTGACCGGCAGGCTGACTCCCTCGGCTACATCCTTCCCACGTGGATAGGTGCTTCCAATGTAGAAGATGTTACTGTAAATGGTGACAAAGACTCGAAGGGGTATATAAGACAGTTTATTTTTAAAAAATGCAATAACTACCTGTTTTTCCAAGTATTTATGTAATTTTGACCAGTACTCGTTATTTGGTAGTTCTTTAGTGCCTTTCCTTGCGGTTACAAAGCGCTCACTTCCCTCCACCCAATCTAAAATTAACAGAATATGCCGTATAGACTAAAGAAATCAATTGCAATAAAGAATTACAATATTAAATGAAATGGGAACAAAAATGACTAAATCCAGTCTTAAAAATGCCCAGAACTTAATTGAAAAGGCAGGTTTTAAGGCATGTCTGAAACTGTATGATAGAGTTGCCACCATCAAGGCTCTATACACAGGTACAGAGTCCCTTACTTACTGAACATTGGTCTGGCAAGATATAATGCATAGGCCGACCGAGTTGATCGTAAATCTGTGCGTTTGTTAATGAATTTGGATATGTATGCTTGGCATACGAACGAAAGAGAGTTGCAGACTCTAGGAAGTATTTTAAATTTGATTCTTTGCTGGACTCATAAACAACAGAGTTCACAAATGAGAGATGTGAGTGTACAAGCTTTATAAGAAAAAATAAGTCTGGCAACAGCATTTTCAAGGTTTTGCAGAGTGCGAATATCTTTCTTCAATAGAATTGTAAAGAGAATTGCCAGAAATCCAACCTTTAAAGTACAAGAGCCTAATAGCAGCATGACAGGTTTTCCTATCAATGAACTTTTTGATTTGCCACATATTTCTAAGATGGAATGATTCTACTAACCTGCGAAACCTGTAGACTTAGATTAGTAGATGAGCAATTCAAATCTATATTGTTACTAACCGTGATATTCCACACCTGGACAGGTGGCAGACAAGAATTGTGCTTCCTTTGAAAGACGAAGTTTGTAAAACAAACAAGCTTCTGAATCGATTCGATGACATCCAACCATCGCTGCTACTTTTCCTGCACAGGCTTAGATCGATTCAAGTTGTAAATCAGGTAAAGTTATACCTATGTCCATGTTACAATCAGTTATTTTAACACAGTTAAATGAAAATGTGTGATGTTAAAACATACATACATCAACTGTTCTGTTACTTCTACTTCCAACAGCCAAAGTCTACAGTAGTAGAGATGAAAAGAATTGATCATCAAAAAAATGTCATTGAAATTAAACATTCTGATGGAACAGATTTCTGGCTCGTTGTAAAGGAAATGATCAGTGTAAACAAATCAGTGGTAAGATTGTTCATGCCTTCCAGTTTAGAAATATATATATTGTATAGTGATGTAAATGTCTAATTCTATACATTAGTTTAAGGTATATAGGGATTTTGAACAAGATGTGCTCTACATCTAATTCAAAATGAAACAATGCATAAAGGCAGGTTCTGTCACATAGTGCTACGCAGCAACATGGATTCCATGTGTAGATTCATTATAATACCATCGGCGACTTTAGTATGTTGTTTAGTTGGCCTCCAACGCACCTAATTTTTCTTAATTTACTCATTATTTTCTCATACTTTTTTGCATACTGATTTTGTTCCTCTAAACTTTTTCTTTAGTGTGACAGAGCTAATATGGAATCTACCGAACTTGCTTTGGCATTTCCTCTACCAAAAGGCAAAAGTGCATCGGAGTTCGTATTGAAAGACCAATACATATTTGCATATCTACCATTGAGAAGCTATGGCTTTAAGTTTATTATACAAGGTAGAGATAATAATTCTTTTACTATAATCCAGAGACCTGAATTCAGGATTGGTTGCAATTTATGAAACTGTCAAAACAATTAATATGTTGGCCGTTGTTATAAATTAAGTATTGCTGCGATTTTAATATTTCCTAGCTGCGACTATATGACACTCGCCTTGTTAGCAAAAGGCTGCGGGTGCAAATCCCACTACAGAAACGTTTTTCATAGAAATGAAAAACAACTTTTCGTTGAAGGGGCATCATGATTAGGGTATATATGTTCCTATTTTCACACTCGCAGCTTCATCTTCTTTACTCTTTACAATTTAAATGATGGGAAATGATGGTGATTATAATTTCTTGTTACAATTTGTTCCTACCTGGACGTGTTACTTAGGCCTATTTTGCTTTTTGTTTTAGGCGATTTTGACATTCCGTCTTCCCGTGAAGATGTTGACAGTGACAGTGCCTGGAACCAGTGGATCAAGCAGCATTTGCCTTCTCTGTTTATCAAGGCTTTACAGTTTTTCAAAGTGAGTTCTTTATTGGTATTGAATATCCGTTGTATTAATTGTTAGGATTAGTATTCTGTCATGAACAAGTATTGATGTATACCATTATTATTTATTTGTCTCTACTTTAGAACTATTATGGTAGTGATAATGAAGAAGTTGCAGTTTGTAAATTCCTTCAGTTTGTTCCTGTAGAGGGCCAGATATTGGGGTTCTTCCAGAGCATCGCTAAGGACATTCATCAGAAGCTTAAATCAAGTCCATGCCTACCTGTTCAGGTTCCGGATGGTACGTGTCCGATCCCCATGAGGGTTGCGATCAAAATGATTTACGAAGATGGTGATGATAAAAATGAGTGTAACGTGGTGGTGTATATAATGCACAAATTTGATAAAATTGGATAACATTTGTAAAGCTCATTTGGCTAAACTGGTGGTAGCCACTGTGTGTGTGCTAAGCCGTAGAGATCCTTTGGTACCTGGTTCTATTCCATCCGCTGCTCTCCTTGTGTTTTAGCTGGAGGTGCACCCACCCTTTACAAAAATCATGTAAAGCCGTTGGTCTCGCCTGAATTAATGTCAATGTGTACTGCCCAATTGCCACCAGAAAAGACCCCAATAGAAATAAGTCTTCAGACTTAAATTTTTGGATTAATTTTTGGTGTTCACACCAAGTACATCCAATCCAATCCAACGCTCTGAAATTTAATTTCCTATAAATCTTGCTCTCTTTCAGGAAATGGTTTGAAAAGGTGGACTCAGCCATCAGAAGCCATCATTGTACATGATCCATTGGTAGAAGAACTTGTATCTCCAGAGGTTCTTCACTGCCACCTTGGTTGCTACTTCTTGAGCAATGTCGTCAGCTCGATGTTGAATGTTGCCCTCTTGAAGAGTCTTGGAGTTAAAGTCATCACAACCAGTAATCTCATTAGTCTCTTTAAGGGAGAGGTTTTAAAAGCAACAGCAGATGGTAAATGTTAATAGCTTTATGACGATTCCATAATTTTCAATTTAATTTATTGATAAAAAGGGGTCATTATCATTATAATCATCGTTTTCTTTTCCTTCATCATAATTATCATAACTACTATTCTCAACACCATTATCACAATTACAATAATACTTTTTATAATCATCGTCATGACTAACACTGCACCTTTTAATCTGTGGTGGTGGACCTTTCCTGTTATTCGACCCTATTTCTACCTCTCATGTTAGACTCTTACACTTTTTTGAGGTTTAGGAGGTCGGCTTTACCCACCTGATCCAGAATCAGAATCATAATTATAATCAATATAAAAGTGATGAGAATGAGAGAGTGGTCACATATACATATGATGATGATTATAATAATCATTATTATAATCATCATCAATATATTCATTAAAACCATCATCGTCAACTTTTCATTCACTTGATCTTAAACTATTTCCCCTATTAGAACATTAAGGCCACAGGACATACTGTTCACAGTTTCATATCCCATAAGATCATAATCGTCATCATTATCGTCATCAAATCCATGAAAGATGTAACTATAGTAAATATATTTCACGACACTTAATTATTATTGGTTCTGTAGTGAGAAAAAAAAAGTCATATTCAAACTAAATATTAAATAATTGACATGAGCTATACAAATATAATAATTTACCTTATGAACAAATTAAATAAAATTATAATTAAATTTTATCTCATTAAATAACTTGTGCAGTTTGTGTTTCAGTACAGTTTAGTCAAATTGTAAATCTTGTTACATTGTCATACGTTTTTCCCCCAACAGGATTAAATATCACTAACATTGCCAAGTGGATAACATGTATTTATCGCTGCCGTGAGGAAGAGCATGACATATCTGAAGAACCAATTAAAGAAATGCAAGCTCTTCCCATCATTCCACTTAGCAATGGCAAGTGGACAGATCTCCAAGACAAGAGTGTATTCTTTTCACTGACGTTTGAAAAACAAAGGACTGATGTATACGCCACCGGTAAAGCTACCAAGAAAGAAACGCAGGGTAAGATCATTGTTTATATCAGTGACGTATCTTGGAGTATTGACGGGGAGCAGATAGGAGGCCCAAAGGTCAAGTAGGGGGATAGATGTGGGGGAGCTAGTTAGCTAGAAAGATTTTGTGAGATAAGGTTTTAAGGTTTTTTTAAAGGTTTTTGGTATTTGGGCGTAATTTGTTGCTCATCAAATATTCATAGACGCAGGGCCACCAAAGCTCGCAAGACCCAGCGGGTGTCTCGGGTCAGCTAGTAGTTAGATTCCAAATTCAAACGATTAGAGATACTAATAGTAGATCAAAATATTGTTTTCCTTATTAAAATTATTGATTTTTTTGTCATGCCCTTCATACAGTACTCATCATTATCCTTTATCATCACATTTCAATTTTCATCACTATTACTACCATCATCATAGTTTTTACCATTCATCATTGTCGTCGTCATCAATGTCATTATTGTCATCATTATTACAACCAGCATTGATATGATGTAGAAGAAAGCAAAAATCAGGCCAATATATTTAAATATATATTCAACATTTTTAATCTTGTAGGAAGTATCCAGAATTTGGAATCGGATATGTACATACTACATGGTGATTTTATGACTTGTCAAGATAGCTTGGCAAATTCCCAGGTTATGTTGATGATGGAACAGTTAGGTGTTTGCCATATCGAACCCAGTGACGTCATCCACAATCACATCTTACCTGCGCTTAGATCTGATGATTGGAAAGTATGTTTAAAATAAATGTATATTTAAGTACATAGAATACAGATATTTACATTGTTAGTATTATTATTGATATATTTAAGTTTATTTAATAAGCAGAAATATTATCATTACAGTAATATGGGCTAATAACAATAATTTTTAAACGAATACAAGGATAGTAAAAATACGGAGAACTCATCTAGAAATCATCCAAAGCCTGTGCATCACAATGACCTACCGCTAAATCTTGATGGAGCGATGCACCTGCGACATCATCACAAATCTAGTTGAGAGACAAGATTCTTTTTTTTTTTTTTTAAATGGGATATTATGTAACTAAGTACCATAAATGCTCGAATAAGCGCCAGAGCACTTATAAAATTTTTAGAGGCTTCAGTGCGGCGCTTATTTGAGAGCGGTGCTTATTCGAGAGCGGTGCTTATAAAAGAAAATATTTCCTTGTCTGTTCCCATGTTACCTATTTCACGTTTTTCCGTAGTTCAGTGGCCTATCATAGGTCCTATCATTGTAAAAAAAACATTTATAAGGAATGCTTGTCTTCTTTGTGTTACCTATTCATTTTAACACTGTATATACATTTGAATTTAAAACCCTGTTTCATTACACACATGGATACTAATCGCCAATGCGCTTATTCAAGAGCAGCGCTTAACGAAAAAAATCATGTTTGGTGCGGCGGATATCCAAGAGCGGCACTTATTCGAGAGCGGCGCTTATTCAAGCATTTACAGTATGTTAAATCAGTTCTCAAATTATATAAATTTCCTTTAATATCATTATTAAACAGATATATTAGGCCAGTTGGTTGTAAATATATATTTATATAAATTATTATCATTTATAAAACAATTCATATTATTTATACTATATCATTATTATTTGTTATTTTAATCATGTCTTAATTATTATTATTACTATAAACATGATGAAAAAACAAATGTTTGTTACTGAAGTGCTTACAATGCTATATTTTCACATTATTATTTGATTTAAATTTAATGTTTCTTTTTCTAATTTCTTCATCAATAATAAAAGTAATTGTACTAGTCATTTTCAACATTATTTGTCTTAAAGTCAGACTTCAGAGGAAAAAAAAAAAGTTTGATATGTTGTAGAACTGATTTTTCTAAGACAGAAAAAAGCTGTTTGACGAAAAACTGGGGAACGGTGAACGAGATACGGATTTTTGAATATTTAAAAACTGGGGGAAAAGGGGCATAACCGCCCATTTTTACACCTTTTTCCCCAGTTTTTAAATATTCAAAAATCAGTATCTCATTCACCGTTGCTCAGTTTTTGATCAAACTACTTTTTTTCTGTCTTAAAAAAAAAATCAGTTTTACAACATATCAACAATTTTTTTTCCTCCGGAGCCTGACTTTAATATATGTTTAAAGGAAAAACCTGCTGCAGTGTTGGTAAGCTACATCGTGTACATCAAAGACCAAATGCAACTGCATTCTGACGTTTGTAAGATGTCGGATATAAAATCAGTGGCTCAAATACAGACTGATAAGGGGACATTTGTGAACCCTAGCAGAGAACCAATTCACTTCACAAAGGCATATGGTAACAAGTATGACTTAAAGAATGATCTAACAGGTAACTGTTATTATAATGATTATGGTTAAAATAACATAAAATGAACGTTACTCCGAATAAAGAGAGGGAGGCCATGATTCAACGTTTCAACCTTTATTGGGTCATCATCAGGATTGAGAAAACTTAGACCATAGAGAAAATAGACAGTGATTACAAAAAATGCTACAATATTTAAATGAGGGGATTAAAAGCTAGTACAATAACAATGGTGATTATAGCAATAATGGTGATTATGAGAGAGGCAATTAAGTTGAGTTAGATTACATTAGATAAACAATTTCAACTCTCTTGATGCTTTGAGACCACAGTTTAATTTAGGGTTAAGGCGATGGATAGCAAGGGCTTCTTTAAATGATTATGGTGTTTATATACTTTCAGAGACGTAAGCAGTTATGTTAAAACATTGAATTAACAAAGCATCATTCTTTTTATTTTCCAGGAGTTGATTGGAATTTTGTCGATGAATGTTATCTACGTTGCAGCCAACAGCAGTCGGGGTCACACATTTCACAGTGGCAATGGTTTCTCTCTGAGTTAGGCATTTGGAACTTATTAGCTATTGAGAGAAAGACATTAAGACTACAAAAGACTGACCTGGTAGGTTTATACCTTGACAGAATGTGACAATTTCTTTTAGATACCTTAGGTTTAAAATACATAGTCTATTCTTAATACAGTATAGGCTTTTAGTATAAGTGGTTATTCTTCAACTATTATATTCCAACATTGAAATAGACAGAGTAAACAGACAGGGAGTAAAGTTTTCCCATTACTTGGATTAAGGTAATATTATACAAATTTTAATACACTATGTATAAGACCATACAATTCCCAGTCCACAGTACTTAATGTTCACATTGACTAATTAAAACACTGACAATTCATTTTTAAGACTTCATCAGTTTGGTGCAGTGAGTATGAGGCATGGCCAGTTCCAAGTGATGGTTTTTACCAGGTTGAAGATAGCAGGAGCAAGGAATTGGAGAATCTTTTCGAGAATAACACAAAGGGAACTGATGACAATCATAGAGTTATGATGAACTTTCTATGCATTCTTGAAAATGAATGGAAATACTTTTATGAATTCGTCAAAGCTTCACTAGTCATTAACAGCCAAAAAAAGAAGTCAATAGAATCAAGTTTTGCAAAATTGTTATTAAGATCTTCATGGATTTCCACAAATCCCATGCTGAATCCAGAAGGTGGAAATTTTACTGCCAAACGGTTGTTACCACCAGATCAAGTTTTTCTACCTTCAGACTCTCTGTATGAATTCTTTGATAAGCATGTTCCGTATCTTAATGGACCAATACCAGGAAATATTGAGCTTATACGTTTCTTAGGTTTTAAAGGAGAGGATGTAAAGGATATTAATTTTCTATTTGACATGCTTCGAGGTTGGTGTACAAGAGGAAAAAAGTGCCAACCAGATGAGATTATGAACTCAGGAGCAAAGTTCACCACATCCATTAAACATATGTTGCAAGTTTACAGTCACCTACAAAGTCATTCACCTCCACAGCAGCTTAAACAATTTTTTGACACGGTTCCGGGTGTATTTCTGCCTTCTAGTCTGTGTGAACAGCACAAGGCTGTCACTGGAAAGTTTGTACATAAATCGTTGACATACTGGATAGATCCTACCAGACTGTTTCACAAGTACGGTGCGTCTTGCAACAGAGATTCTGTTATCGAGGTCTATGAGCCAATTGAGGATTTCTTTCAGATTCAACTTAAGATTGATTACACTCCGAATATGCTTGAATATTTACAGTTGCTTGTCAGAATTACTAGTGAATATCAATTGCCAAATAATAACGTTCTCGCTGATATCCTAAAGATCTTTGGAATTCTTGGTGAAAATTGTGCTATTTCAGGTCATACCTACAGCAAAAGCAGCTCGGCAAAAAAAGTTGCCATTAATGTTGATACCAAGAGAGCTGCCGATTTGAAGGACATGCTGAAGGGATATAAAGTGTTCCCTACGAAAGCAAATAGGTGGGTGGCTCTTGACGATGAGCCAATGATAGTTGATGAAGGATCAAAGGAACTTGAAAAGCTGTTCTGTTCTAATCAAGATATAAATCTTCTTCAGTGGGATGCTAGTGAAAATCCAAATGAAAGACAAGGGCTACAGAGAAATCCTAGCGACAACTTTCAAGAAACAAATGAATACGAAAATGTCCAATGCTTTCTACACGCATGTGGAGTCAAGTATCTGTCTGAATGCGTTGAACGTGAAGCCATTGAAGAGTATATTCAACCGTGTCCAAGTTTAAAGAATCTAATGCATCGTGTGGTTCCATACGTGCAGTCTTTTTTATTTTCAAAGTTTTTCAAGATTCACGAAAGGCTTGTTTCCAAAGTCAAAATAATATCTAAATTGAAAATCATGAACTTCATGACTGCATCCAGACTTCAAGTCATATACAGAATTAACTACACCAAGGATGGCGAAATAGTAACTGCTGTAAGTTCCACAGAACAGAAGTGTACGATAACCAGCAACTTTTTCATATTAAAGGCGATTGAACAAAATATTCAAGAAAACAGTTCTGTAAGGAAAGAAATAGCAAAATTATTCAGTGATGGTGATAATGCTTGCCAAAAAGAGATAAATGTATTCCTTATGTTAGTGATGAAGCATTTGAACCAGGATTTCCATAATTTTCTCACTGAGTATGGTTTATCAAGAGTTGAAGGTGTGGAGTTGTGGGAAGTTGGAAAGTCCGAAGCACTCACTATTGTCCCTGGTAAGTGATGTTATCTAACATAACATGTGTTTATATGTTTACATTTGTATATACAGTAATGTTAATAAAGTTCACCCTTCAATTTGAGACTTCTTTAATTCAAAACCACTTTTTCAAAAAACTAGATAACATTGTTCAATCTTTTCACGAATCTAACCATCTAAATGGAGACCGAATTCGAGACCACCTTTAATTTTCAGGTCCCGAAGGTGGTCTCGAATTGGGTGAATTGTAGTATAATTACAGTAATTATACGTGCGCAATGAATTTATCTGTACTACTACAGACTCGACCGTAGCATAATATTGTAAGTTAACAAATACAATTGATGAAACATCCTAATTCGTTTGACTCCAGCTGTACATGTTGTGTTAGGTATTAGGCCATATTAACAGGAAATACAAGACCCCTTATTATTATTTTGTTATAGCCACGAAACCAGTGGTAGTTTTGCCAACTGTTAACGAAAAAGAAAAAAATAGGAAAGGTGGTCTTGAAAAAGCTGAAGAAGGATCAGGCATCTACAGTTGGCCTCCTAAATCCAGTGCTCATGAACTAGTGAAAACGGATAGTAAGTTAATAATCATCTATAGTAGTGATACACAATATCGTACGAGTAGGCGTAAACTCACTTCAGATTTCCGGTATCTACACATAGTGACGAAAGATGTTCCTCTTTAAACTGCATTTTAAAAAAATAATAATATTTGCTGTTGCAATAATATTGAATATCTTTCATTAACTTTTGTATTTTTAGAGACAATGAATCCATCTGATAAAGCGTCTTTGGAGAAGTGGCCACTACCTCAACCAGAACAACCATTAGCTAATGTCCCGTCTCCGAAAAAATCTTCTACACAGCATGTCTCAGGAGAAAAAAAAGGTGAATTCTACATTTTCTTATACGCCATCAATCTCAAATACTTAGAGTGAACTTTTTTAACACAGATGAATTACAGAGTATACATAGGATTTGTCAATAATTATACTTGATACATTATTTGCATGATTAAAACGTGAGTATTTTTGTTCTCGATAGCAACACGAGATTCAAATATGGCAAAAAAACTACCTAATTCAAATCTAACCAAAGAGAGACAAGTCGATCATGACCATCAACTAACTGCAACTGTTGATAGCACTGGTGACTCCCGAAAAGACATTTTAAAGAATAGTTTACAAAAAATGAGGCAAAGTAAGTCCACAGATGTTAACCAACCTTTCACTAAAGAAAGAGTAACACCACCCTCTGGTGTCGATAAGCAATTTCAAACTCCGCCAAACCCACAGAGAATCGTGTCACTCAGTAGTAGTCCTAGGAGTGGTAGTAGTACAAGAACATTTAGCCCGTCACCACCCAATGAAGTTGAAATGATTGAGGAGGATATTACACCTAATCTTCGAAACTTGCAGTTCTTTGAGGACGCTCAGAGGAAATTTTCCAGTCCTAGTGATTACATAATAGGACGCTGGGGAGAAGAACTTGTGTATCACCTCTTAAAGAACCAGTACGAAGGCAAGTCCAACGTCAGATCCACAGTTCTTTGGGCAAATGAACAAAATGAGACTGGATATCCATATGACATTGAAATAAAAACAAATATTGAAGGAGGTGTTCATACCGAATACATTGAGGTCAAAGCTACCAATTCATCTGATAAGAAATACTTCCAGATCTCTTCGAATGAAATAACGTTTGCTCAACTTAATGCGCCGAACTATCACTTGTATCGTGTTTACAACGTTGGAAAGAAAGAGGCCGTCAGAGTTTGTTCACTGAAGAATCTCAGTGAGAAAATGGTCAAAAAAGAAGTAGTATTATTCATGAAAATTTAAATTTCGCTTATCTTATTTTAGTATAGTGTAGTTATTTCGATATTTTTTAGAATACTACATAAAATTTGAATACAGGTGTATTTTAAAAAACAAGACGACTGTTTCTTCAATTGTACTTGACTCGATGTTACCATAGGACAAGGTGGATTTATATTTAGCTGTTTTGCATTTGTGTATCGGAGTAATAATTATCCTCTTTCAACAAAAATAAACAACACATTGTTAGTACAAAATTAAGGAGTCGAGTAAACCTATTAATAAAGAATTTGAATTCTCAACAGCGTCACAAGACCAAGACACAATCTAGGCTGGGCTATTCAAATTCAGTGCCATTGTTGTGGATGTAGTGCCCGTTTTTTCTGTCTCAGAGGGCTTTATAAATAATTAATATTTTGCAATTATAAAAGTATATAAAATATAGATAACCTATTTACTTAAATTAGTTTTATATGTTGAATCAATTTTATAAATATAACCATGTTAATGTTGTAATCATGAAAGTTGTTAGGTGATATAGAGTAGTGATAATAAAAATGCATATATTTTAATACTTTTATAAATATCAGATCAAATAAAATGTAAAAATAATCAATTGGTATAATGGAAGTGGTGACACATGACGTCACTTGATAATTTTTTGCAAACATCAAAGCTTTTTATACAGTTACAGTAGTTAAATACGCTATTTTAATGATTGATGAATTTTTTTATATAGGCCAGCTGCTGTAATTATTTTATTGTAATTATTCTGCCAAACCTCTCAGATTAGTTTAATTTTAAAATTCATATTTCGTTATGCTTTCTTTAATTTCATGCAAGTCACATTTTATAAGAAAGGCAGAACATAACTATGCTCCATTTAATTATGCACATAGGGTAGATACTCGTGACGGTGCAACATTTTGGATCATTGCTGCCCAACAATCTAAATATGTTAACAGCTCACTCTAGCGACCACCACTCTCAATTTACAACTCAAACACGGATGTGTTTAAGACTTAACATTAATGCATGTAGTTTGTATGTAGACATATAATACTGAAATAAATTTTAGCGGAGAACAGCTGAATTGCCCAAATGTTCATTTACGTGGGAGACAAACGGCGATTTTGACATTCAATAGTAAACGTCATGGTGGAAATGTCACTTCCTGAGTCATGTGTCATATCCTTAAAATAGGCTCTGACAATTCGCGCTTCAAATGACATCAAACGCCTACGGGTAGGGAGAATTATGCCTCTGCCTAAAAATCGTTGCGTAATTAACAAAAATATTTGAGTTGGTTGGGGGTACCAGTGGCATGCAGTTATCCATCTATAACTGGGACGTAAGCAATTTAAATGACCCTCAAATTTGTACCCACCTGGATCGTCCCCTAGACATAAATATCTTCCTTGTAACTTGGGTTACACTTTCCCGTCCATTCGGATTAGTTGACCCGTTTTTGAAATATCTGGTCTGGGACGTTTTCATTTAAATGGTCCTCATATTCACACCCTACGCCGGATCATCACAAAAATTCAGCCATTTCTTTACAAACTATTATAGATAGTTTCATTTACACTAATTGGAAACTTTTTATAGATATTTACGTCTGGGATCTAACAAATTTAAACCCTCCAATTCACACCCTTGACTGATTCGTCGACCTTGACAAACTGTTATGGTTTAAATTATACCCATTGATTTTTTTAAGAGATTTAAGTCTAGGTACTCAAAAATTGAAATGACACTCCAATTTACACCCTTGACTGATTCGTCGCCAGGCCATAATAATTTCTTCCTTGATAAACTTGGTTATTTTTTTCCGAATGTTTGATTCAGATCAGTTGGTGCGTTTTCGAAATATGTGGTCTGGGGCGTTCTCCTTTAATGGTCCTTTGATCCACACCATACTGCGGATTGTCACAAACATTTAATCATTTTTTTACAACCTTTACAAAGTATTTGAAATTTCCATAGACCCATTGGTTTTTTAAAGAGATATTTAGGTCTGGGTCCTCAAAAATTGAAAAGACCCCCAAATTTACACCCAAACATTTCTTCCTTTTGTTTGACCTTTTCGTTTGACCTTAAATCACTTTAATTGATCCTCACACGCACACCCCACCATAGATTGACACTAAATATTAGGAGGCACATCCTTGATATGGGTGCGTACCTTTGGTCCGAAGGTTGTCCGATGGCCCATTGGTCCGAATGCCCGTTGGTCCGAAGTTCCCAATTTTAGGTCGGTGAGTACCTTTAGTTCGAATGCCCGTTGGTCCGAACGGTCTTTGGTCCAAAGGCCCGTTGGTCCGAAATTTTAGTGACCTGGTTTGTCAAGAATAATTGTTAGCCTATATATAATACTTGTTGAAACCGTTAATTGTTTGGCTCTTCAGGGTCGCTTTTAATTTAGGGACGTTCTTGACCACTGAATGCGTTTTTTTATTTGCTTCCTTGAGTAATTTATTTTTCGAATAATTTATTTAACACGACTATTTCAGCATCGTAATTTATATATGTATATATATAGCCTCTATACTGTCTCTTATACACATCTAGATGTGTATAAGAGACAGATATAACCATGTTAATGTTGTAATCATGAAAGTTGTTAGGTGTGTTTACAACCGTTATATTTGTTTCATTTTGTCACTGCCTATGCAGCTTTATTAATTTTATTTATGCTTGACAAAAAGCAGGTTTTGTTTAGTCTAGTACTGTAATTAATAAACAAAAGTTAGGCACTACATTTAAAAAAGTCTTATAATTACGTTTTAAAAAAGGACTTACAAATAACATTTTTATGCCTAACTCATTTACATCACAAAGCAAACGAACTAAGCCGCTGAAACATGGGCCAGTTGTCGTTGAACCTGCGTGAAAGTAGCCTAAAAAATGTGTAAATGTGTGTCTTCACGTGAAGTCTAATAATAAGGTTATATTTATAGGCCTACCTCGCGTCAAATGAATTGTTTGCTCATAGGATGTTGCAGAGTATAGCATTATCTTGCAACAATCAGTAAGTTTTTATTGTTACTGTTAGCTAATATAAGTCTATCATTTGTTTTCCTTGTTTTATATTTTTGTCTAAATTTCAAATATTAATTTCGGATCAACGGACCTTTCGAACCAAGGCGCTTCGGACCAAAGAACCTTCGGAGCAATGCACTGACCCCTTTGGGTGAGGGAATTGGCCTATGCTTCGGCAAAGCACGGAAAAATTCTAAGCATGGGAAGTGACCAAAGTGACGGCCAGCTAAAAAAAAAAAAAATTCAAAAAGATAGGAAAAATATATGCAAGAAAAAAGAAAGAAAAAAATCAGAACAAAAACAATTACTTTTAATTCCCAGTACTGCTGGGAAAAGCCAATAACAATAATAATAATAATATATAAAGCTGGGAACAGTGAAATTACATTAAAAAAATTTTTTTTTTAATTTCACTGTTTCCTGATTAAAGCCTATCCGTGCCTGTTAATTTGTATTTTTATAGTCATTGAGCTATTTAATTAGGCCAACCCATGTCATTCATTCATTTCATTTATTGTCTTAAAACAAAACAATGCAGAGACGTATTTTAGGATGTAGACGGGTCAAAAAGTGAACCGAATCAACTACCAAGTGACTCTCCAACCTCCAAATAAATAGAAAAATCATACAGGTATTTACTTTTGTAATCAATATGATTGTTGTTTTTTGTATACAACACGTGTTATGGTAGATCAGGAGTTGTAATTTCCAAGTACGATTCAGCGTTGGGAATTCCCCAATTCAGAGAATCATGCAGGTGAAGGACTGAGCCATTAACATCATTTATCGGAGGTTCTCGGTTAGCCGTCGAATCTCATTATACACTCAGGCCTATTATTATTGGTATCATTTCTTATGTAGGCCTACTCCCAGATTACACTGTAAAAGGCATGGAGGAATAAAATAGAAAGGTAAGGCTGTACCTTTGTTTACATTATAAATATTACTAAATAGAGCAGTAATAGGCCTAAGCTGATTGGCTAAATATCTACCTGTCTGTATCATGTACAGTATAGTGGAGTAGAGAAGCATTAGGAGGAAGTAGCAAAGATTTTAAAATATGTGATTTTAAAACTAGGATGAACATTAAGCCACCGGCTGTAAATCAGAAAAGGCCTAGAAAATGGATTTTGTTCCCGCGGTCGGGGTTTAGTTGACTATTTAGTAAATATTGTTAATTAAACTTGTTCCCCACACTATACTGAAAGTTGTCCATAAAATCTCAAGGCGGTTTTCCAAGACCCATCAAACCCCTCCTACCAAAACATCACTTTTTAGGGTTTGGGGCTACATTTGGGTAGACATATCTCCTCAAATTAACACTCCAAATGTACATTCATTATGTTTTTTTTTGTGTGGGAGTCAAAAGTTGCTTGGTAACACACAGAAAAAATTAAACAACAAAAGTAATCCTAAAGTGAATCTAACTGAAGTGCAATTTATTTGCGTACATTTGACATTTTGATGTCTGGAGCCATTTTTTGAATAGTAATGGGGTTTAATTACATAACTAGATACACTCATACTGCATTTGGTGTATGGGTAGCTGGTTAGGCATGTTAACAAACATGCAAAATTTGAAATTGTAAAGATAAACCTATCTTTCATAAGGAGGGTTGCCAAAGTGCGAGTCAGTAAGTCATCCAGCGAGGCATGCAATTTATGCGAGCCATGAATGTAATTCTTGCGTGACGTGTACCAACAGTGCGAGGCACGCAAAGTCTACGCTAATAAACACTTGTGCAATTTATAAAATAATTACAATAATGATAGTAACTACTTTTGACATATTTTTTTTGACTATGACTATGTAGGCTATGTAATATTCATTTCACTCACACTGCCCATTCGCCCCATGCATGGACGGAGGACATTAATTAATTTACACAAAATAAACCTAACTCAAAGGCAATTAAAAAACATGAAACCAAACACAATTAAAAGATTTAATTAAACGTCATAATTTAAAATGCATAAACGACTAATAATAATTCATTTACGGGCTAACATCCTGTCTGTGATCCATCATGTTTTAAATAATAATTTCAAGTATTTCTTCTAATAAATGCCCTGCTTTTAACAAAATAAGGTTTAATCATCATTGTGTAATTTACAAGATATAGGCCTACTGTATGAAATTGTATAATCCTGTTGTTCTCTAATTGACATGAAACAAAGTAGGCTTACCTAAACCTAGGGCCTAGGCCTATTTCCAGTGGTGGATTTAGACTATTTTTTGCAAAAAAAAAAAAAGAAAAAAAATTACACCCACTAGACAATTTTTTGCAAAAAAAAAAAAAGAAAAAAAATTACACCCACAGTGTTTAAGTCTTCTTTTCCTACCAAAAACACTAGAAGAGTGCTATTCATAAATCCACTTGGTGAGAAATAGAATACCTGTAATTTACTCAATGTTAATATACAGTACAGTAGCGGATTTTGTTTGACAGATTTTGGATATTAGTTTTCCCTTTTTGCTGATTTTGTGATTTTTATGTTCGATGTTGCTGAGAAACTTCATCATGTTTTCTAGAAGTGAAATTTCTCTTTTGAAATGGTGTACATTTATGAGCCTTTGCATGTCGTCAAAGATATGTTTGAGATGTTCATGGAAGAAGCACTAAAACCAACAGCTGTGAGTTGATGAATTATTATTAAGTTAATGACACATTTCATACTGTAGTTGCATATTGCAGGTACACTGTATTAAAATTTCTTTTAAAAGACATACACCTACTTTTTTTTTTTATTTATTTGTTACCGAAAACTACCATGCTAGATAGTCAAAATCGACTCAATACAACCTCATATTCCTAAAAAAATTGCTGGGCTTCAAGGGGCCTTCCCCCCCTTGGACCCCACCAGGGGCTCTGTCCCTAGTGGACCCCCCTGGTCCCCGGCCTAAGGCTGTTAGCTTCCTCGCAGGTCGCGCCCCCTCCCCCTTTTCTGGCAGGCTGGATCCGCCCCGATAACCCATACTATTTTAGTATTCTATTCATTTGTTTATTAATCTATCATGATTATTTATTAATCTATCATGATAAGTCTAAGAACAATAACATCAATTGTTATCAATATGATTTAACATGCAGGTGGGTACGGTTCGTCTTTCAGAATTCAAACCTCCCTCTTGGTCGGTCGCCCTCTCCTGTTCCTGTTGGTTTTGAGGTTGGTGAGGCCTTGTTGCGACTCCTAATATTTGAATCAGCTAGGGATATGATCGGGCCGGGTTGATTTAAGTCACTTTTTGATTGAAGGAAATGGTTTGATTTTAGTATTAGGCTACTCGATGAGAAGGTCATATGAACATCATAATTTATATTAAAATATTGTCACTGTCACTTCTACGGATCCAAAAGACATGCAAGGCCCTTATCTGCCGCATCCATATTTTTTATATTATTATTAATGTAATGTATTATATATAAATGTACTTCACCAGCGAAGGCAAAACCTGCATACCGTCAACGTCGTCCTCCTCCTCCTGTAACATGAACATATAGCCAATCACAATGCTTCAATTATGCCATTACTACCGCGGTGGAATATTCCCCTAGAAATTTACGAAAGTAATAATTAACTGCCTGCTTTATGTAATAATAAATAAATAAATAAAATAGTATGTGTTAATAAAAATAATTACGGATAAAAAAAAAATATTAAAAATGTATGGCTTGCATGACTTGCGCATGACTCGCTGGCTCGCACTGTCGCTGGCTCGCACTTTGTCACGACCCTTTCATAAGTGAAGGCTGAAAAACCAATTAAATGAGTTTAACTGAAATATTGCAATTTCTTCATATTCTTGGAAATAGTAAATTCAGCTGTGTTTAAAAAAAAAGATTGGGCCACCTATGATTTTTGAAATTATCTTTTAACATAATATTAACAGTACATGAACCATGTCATAATTATTTTTTCATACTGTAGCTGGATAAATAAATTGTTATGGTAATATGAACATTTAAAAGTAAATAAACATTAGGTTTAAACATATCAGATCAGTTGATGGAATGGGGGTGGGGGTGTGGGGAGACAGAGGAAAGCTAGCAGTCAATTAATTTTGTTAAATTATCTTCTTTACCAGAATTAAGCTTAACAGCTAAAGGTATTCAAGTTGTTTCATTAAAATTATACACTAACAGTGTGTATGTACATGTAAACAAACATTTGTCCTTAACCATTTATTCACTTGCGAACAACAGTAAATTGATAATTTTTTTTATGGGGCCTAATGGGCGGTAAGAGCAATGGGCAAACCAATATCCTGTGTAGATTGTTGAATCCACTTCACTAAATAAGTGCAGATAGATATCAGAGCAGTCATTCCTCTTATAGATGCTGGTATTGCGATGATAATACCCTGAATATTAGAAATTCCCAGGGTATATCTTTTTCGTATCTGATTGGATAATACGATGATATATTAGGTGGCATTTGGCATTCATTCACTTTATCTAGTACAAATATTATCAAGAGGACCGTTCAGTGTATATGATAGGTCTACATACTGCAATGAAAACCGTAAATCGAGTGGCATATCTAAAAGTATTGAAATGGAAGAGGGGCTGTTGTGTGAGGGGAGGTGGGGTGAAGGTGATAGGGAGTGCTCGATGATTAAGTTAGAGGTAAAATAAGGGATACTTTATTTTTAACAACTTTTTCTGTTTCGAAAATCCCTGTTGGTTCGAGTGGGGTGGGGACTGAGGAAGGAACATTGGGCGAGGGAAGCTGGATATGGGGGTGTGTAGAGAAATTTGGGAGGGCAATTGGAGGTTGTCGAAGGAGTGTACTCCTCCACGCACCCTTAGATACGCCACTGCCTAATTTAGAAAATCTATTATATGGGTAGAAAACAAAACCATGATTTATTACAGATTAATGCTCAAACTAGCTACTCAGCAATAATCCATAGCTTCTGGGTCCCTTCAGTCAATGGCGTATATCTAGGGGAGGGCGTCGGGGGTGCACAGCCCCCCCCCCCCAAATTTA